CCTAAGAGCTCTCACTTGCTAAGTTCACCTGTCACGTTTCCTCTGCAGATCTGCTTCTGAGGATTTCTTTGTTCTCTTGTTGACCTTGTGGAGTTCCTGAGAATTCATACAACGAAATGTTTAAGCCAACAACATAGAGGCACTGCAAGAGTTAGTATCTTCTACTGGGGTTTTTGAAGGAATGTGGAACTCCTACACCTTTATATTTGTATTTCGGTTGCTTGGTTAATTTAATCAAACATATACTGGAAGCACATAACAACAAATGCACAAAATACAGAAAAACTTAGCCAATCACCTCCACAGAAACAGAATCGTCTGAGCTATCTTCACTTCCTAAACAGTCTAGGAATTCTTCATTCATTTCACGCTTTTTTTCAATGCAAATTGCAAGCTGATCAACAAAGAAGAAATTGTTAGTATTCACAAGAAAATTGACATTTCCGACTAAGGATACATAGGGGGTTACCAGATGCAACTTCTGGTTGATCAAACATGTGGACAAATCAATAGAACCGTCAAATGGCATTTTTGGCAACGGCTGTGTCTCTTCCCAACACCAACGAACTTCACGGACAAACTCTATCCAGAGAAAGGCAATGGCTAGAGATGGGATGCAGAAAACAAAAGAAAATACAATACATCTATTAATCAGATAATTTCTTTCAATATGTTATCAGGCTGACCAAATGTGGCATGGTCTACCAACACATACCACGGATATTGCAGTTCCCAAACCACAGTGAGTGCAAACAAAATTGTGTAAAAAGAGATTCAAGCGGTGCAGCCTTAAGAGCTCGAGAAAGCCTGTGTTCGCCTTTAGTGAAATCTGGGAGTTTCGATCCTGCGAGATTGGATTAGAAAAAGGTGAAACAATACCACATAGATGGAGTCTAACAAATGTTTGGGACCTAGGGTGTAGATTTTCAAATGCTCTCGGCAACAAATTTTAAATTCATGCATAAAATTTTAGAAGGTTTCAAAGGGAATAATACCATATGATAATCAATATTTAATGTCGTATAACAGAAAAACAAGCTTATAAGTTATACTATGATAACATAGAAATAGGCCGTATACATGCATCTATGTCCAGAAATAATATAGTGGAAGAATACCCTCATGAAAGAGATCTTTAACCACCCGATCAAGAACTGTTGGAGGAGGTATGACCACTGAGGTCTTCAAATTTTCGGAGCTTGGATTTTCCACTGCAAGATATTAAAAAACATTAGACAGTGGAAATGTCAGGACAAGCAAATGCTGTAAATGAATATAAGACATAAGGGAAATTATCATATGCTATAACTCAATCCCTTGCTAGTGGAAGTTTCTACATGTATTTGAAACATGGTGAAGATATAAAACCACACACAATTGCACCGACCTGACACGAAATCCTCCATAAACTGAGCTGTGAAGGACGTATCCAATGCTTCAACCAAGCATAGTAGTTGGGACGCAAAATCAATTCTTTTCCCATGTGAAGGATCACCCCTGGTAAAACAATATTTGTTATAAAACTGAAAGGGAAAAATAATACACCACAACACATGCAAACTACTATTCTGTTCTAGAATGGGAAACTATGAGAAGCACTTCTTACAGATATGGTGAGAGGATTGGGTGTAAAATCCACTTCGCCGCTTCATGGGGTGAAGCATTTTCAAGTTCAGCCATCTCAAGTGTGTTTTCTACAGTCCTGTCAGCCCATGTGACCACCAATTCGAATCCTGTCCATATCAGCCACAAAGTTAGATAATAACTTCCTTGAATTTGCAAAAGACCAGCCTATGCTTGAAGAACTATACAGGATCATCACACATCAATTATCATCCTTGTGTATGTTGGAATACAGAGGTATATAAAGACCAGTTAGTAAGTTTAAGTAATTCTGTTGTATAATCATGAAAAAACACCCCTTAACTAATCTGCAAGACTGAGAGATAAAATACAAATTCTAAAAGTACTGTACTGTGTAGACTGTAGTCCAACCAGACGAATTTTTACCTCTAAGTGGGTCTTCAGCAGAGTACCACTCACTCCAAGGACAATCATCATCCCAGTGCACCTTGTTGCGTGACTCAGAACCATAGTGTTCTGCACTGTCTGCTTTGTCATCCATAAGTTCATCCATATCATTTTCCTCATCCTCCTCATCATCTGGGAAGGTTTGGTAGGTTAACCTCATCATAAAATGGACTTTGAAATTATGCATCGAGAAGTCCACTCCTGAATAAACCTTCAAATAATAAATCGTTGTCGATAAATACAGTATCTAGCAAAACAATTTATTCACGTGATAAACTAAGCCACGTTGGACCGGATCGCAAGTCAAGATAAAAAAATGTCTCCCCTTCTATATCAAGCTTAAAGCATTTTGTATAAAGTACACATTGCAATATAGTATGTGAAGAAAAAAGAATACTAAGAGCAGCTAAATTGGAAACCAGTTTTTCATCAGTATTGGCTAATGCTTGGTAAGTTTTCACGTCGCTTTGATGACTAATAGCCGTACTGATGAACATCACTAAGTAAGAGCCACAAAGACTTACAAATTTCGAAACAAACAACTCATATAGTCCTTCCAGGTGCATGAGTTTCACAGGGACTTGACTACCAATACGATCTGCTTCAAATCTTCTAGTAAAAACAGTGCCCATATTTTGGATTCCAATATATGCTTTTCGTGAAGGGTCATGCACAGGGACAAAGGCTGGCCACAAGCTGCATACCAAAGTCGTATGAAATTATTGAAAATAACTCAACCAAATATGCGCCTAATCATTATCTTGTAAGCATAGACCCTCACGGATAACACATTTCTATCAACTTTGATTGTGTATCAACTCTAAGAAACAGTGTATTGTAAGAGTTTCCTGACGATGCGAAAACTAAAGTGGTGTTACTGGCTAAGACGTCGTACCTGGCACAGTTAGACAAAGCTATAGCAACCGAACTCAGAAGCTTGCTAGACTCTGGTGTATCAAGAAGCACCCCACTGGCACTTTGTGGAGCAATCAACTAGAAGATGAAAGGAAAATCAATAAAATATCGAGTATGTAAAAGGGATGGAGCTAGTTCAACAAAAAGTTGTGGATTTAAAGCGTACCAGAAAATCCTTCACCCCAAAGCAAAGTTGGAGATCATGTGAACTACTGTTCCAATTACCAATTCCAGCTGCATCAGTCAGATACCGAATCATGAAACAGAAAAATGCAGTTTCTCCAAGATAAAGCGTATTACCCTGAAATCATATACCTTGTTGTCTACCATTATCGTCAATTTGAAAGTAGAACTCCATGCAGTAGCTCTTTGTGACATTTTTCAGGTCGTATTTGACCTTATAGAGATTCTTCGAATCTTCCATAGCAATAGCACCCTTTTCCTGCATTCAAGTATATTTCGCAATACACGTCCAACATGATCATTGTAATAGTAAAATTGGCCATAGGGTCTGGCCAGAAGAAAACTATGACAATGTACACCCATTCATATGATTCTAACGAGTTGAGCAAGTCTCATTTACAACTAAAGAACTCGGTCGATGGATGGATGAAATAATTTGGAAAAAGCAAACGTACCACCAGGTTTTTCGGACCATCGGCTAACCATTGACGACAAGTTGCTTCAATGTCTGAGATGAACCTAAGTTACGACGGGATCAGTAATGACATTCCGAACGCCGTATTGAATCCAAGCATTCAAAATCGTGAAGATGAATGAGTACCTTTCCCAGGAAGAAGCTAGAGTAAAATCATCGAAATGTTGCACCTGCAACATAATTCCTGATCCATCAATCACAAAACAAACAGCAGAAGTGCTCATGAAGAAAGAGGTTTATAGAAGGTAGTAACTGGCATACCTCTTCTTCACCATCATCATCTTCTTCGAGAGGATTCGGTCTGCTCGTAGAAGCCATATAAATTGGATATCGAATTTCTCTCTCTCTTCTTCTGGGTAAAAGAACTCTGGCAGATCCTCCGATCACGCAGAAGAGGAGATCCGCTTCGGGAAAGAGCAACGACGATGGGAAAGTTACAGAAGACGGTAACGATGAGAATAAAACGTCGTCGTTCAAGGCTGACTTCGGACTTTGACAAATGGTGATAACAACGCGTGCCGTTTCGTGTAATGAAAGACGGTTTGCATTCTATTTACCAAGTTTTTTTTCTCTGACAAACAAGCCGATTTCAATGGGCCTATTTTAGGCCCAATACGATGGTTATTGTCTATGCCCATTACAATTTTTATGCTTAAGACTTCAAAGTAGTCACATAATTAACCTCAGTTATGTGTTTTTGTAGAAAGAAAAATGGATCAAACTCAGATCCAATGCAAGACTAAAATGCGAAAATAGTACTCCCTCCGTATTCAAAATATAAATTGTTTTGACTAAAAACACGGAGTTTAATAAATTATTTTTCTTTCAAAAAGTATTTTGAAAGTATTTGCATAATACTATTAGTTGCACAATATTCAATGAAGTAAAAAAAATATCTAAAATTGTCAAAACAATTTATATTTTGAAACCGAAAAAATCTTCTAAAACAATTTATATTTTAAAACGGAGAAAGTAATTCTTTTTGTCATCCTAAATTCCTAATAATTAGATTTCGTTTCAACTTTAATAATTTTGGAATTTTTGTATTTATATGGATTAGTGATCATTTAGATAAACACAATTATGTTTTGCAGGGACCACAATCCACAAAAAGAGATTAATTATCCCAAAGAAATTAAATGAAAACATTTGTTTGGTCCAACATTACATAACAAATTCTAATTTGCAAAACATAATTGGAAAAAAAATAATATACCGGAGCGTGTAGTGGATCGAGAAGGAGACAGTCTGAAAATCGTACTTCTCTATACATTAATGAAGGTCGTCCTCCGCACTAACGCTAACGAAGATGAAATCTAAAAAAATCCCTGAAATCTGAAATCACACACACTACATTTTCATCTCTCCCAAGCTCATTTCCGACGACGACCTTCAAATGGCTGCAGCCTTGGAGTGCTGGTCGAGCCGTGCCGGAGGTGGTGCTCTCGACGACGATCTGGTGGATCAGGTACTCATGCGCACGCACGATAGGTCCGAGTCCCTTGTTACGTCTCCACCTGAGACGACTTTGGAGGCCGAAGGATCCGCCGCAACGTTTTTTGATCAGAGCTCATCGGCTATGCAGAAGCGGTTTCAGCGTCTCAGTCGCAACGTCTCCGAGGCGATCGCTTCGCTCAAAAACTCCCTTAGTCTCGACTCCGCGCGGGACAACCAGAGTGCCGGCGGAGCTCCGTCGCCTAAGGCCGAAGTCGTCGGCGGCGGCGGAAGGAAGCTCCTGTGGGCTACTGTAGTGAGGAATCTCGCTAAGATGTATCCTGGCAGTCAGTTACCGGAGAAGCTCGTATCGAATCTCAAGAAGCATCACGATTCTTTGCCCTTCAGGTATACCAGATTTACCAGTTGCTGAATTGAATTTCTATTTAGAGATTGAATTTCTATTTAGGGACAGTTTTAAGATTATTGTGTGAGTTTTCGATGTTTCGATTTCCAAATTCCGAAGCAGACCAAGTTAAGCTGCTTAAGCAATGTTCCTATTCTCTTGTTCTCGGTTTCAGTAAACAAGTAATATTTCTTGTATGTATGTTCCATTGATAAACACTTTGAATCTGGATATATTTGGTCAATCATGGAGCAATCTAGGTAATTTGGTTTTGTGCTTGGTGTTATTGTTTCAACAGTTACAGTCAGGCTGGTTTCGATATGAAAGAAGTATTTCTACACGTAAAGTTGATAGAGCAAGCTTCTGGAGATGACAATCCTGTGTTTATGATTCAAGAAGTGTCTGCCGAGGAAGCTCAGGGCTCAGTTCTCAGACTCACATTCGCCTGTAACTCTTCTCTTTCATGGTTAACCATGTCAGGCGCTCTTAATAGTGCTTCCATTTGTTGCAAGAAGTTACAAATCTTTGAGAAGAAGGGGTTGACTCTCGGTGTTGTTCTTCTTCTGGATCAGTCTGGGCAAGAGAAATTGTTCAAAACCCGGGTAGAAAACGCTCTTAAGTCTGCAACGAGGAAGCCAAAACCGACTTGTGTTAAGCTCCCTTTTGGGCTTTGTGGCTGTCAAGAACAGAACGGCAGTGTTGGGGAACTTGGAGGTGTTGAAGAAGAGTCCATTCAGCATAGTAATAGGCTAGGGGTAGAAAATCTGAATGGTATGATCCAGCTTCAAATTCCACTTCCGAGTTCTTCATTTGTTGTAGCAATTAATGAATGGCAGACCATCCAATCCGGTGGCAATGATATTGGAAAATGGCTATTGAATTCCGATAGTTTTGAGTTCGGTGATCAGATTAGACCAAATTTTTTCAAAGGAATTTTCCGAGGAAAGAGGGTGGGAATCAAGAAACTAAAAGGTTGTGACAAGGGGAATTCATATGAGTTTGTGCTCCGTAAAGATTTCTTGGAGCTGATGACCTGTGGACACAAGAGCATTCTGCAATTTTACGGCGTTTGCATCGATGAGAACCACGGATTATGCATTGTGACAAAACTGATGGAAGGTGGGTCACTTCATGAACTGATGCTAAAGAACAAGAAGCTTCAAACCAAGCAGATACTGCGAATTGCTATTGACATAGTCGAAGGGCTGAAGTTTGTGAATGATCATGGTGTTGCTTATCGGGACCTTAATACACAAAGAATACTACTAGATAAACATGGCAACGCCTGTTTGGGGGATATTGGAATAGTCACCGCTTGTAAGAGCTTTGGTGAGGCCGTGGAATACGAAACTGATGGCTATCGTTGGCTTGCACCTGAGGTCTGTGTTCTTTTACTCTTGTCTTTGTTCAACAGATTACTTGAGAATTAGATCGTAAGCATTATCATGCTTTGCCATTTCCTGATCTTTTATAACCTCTAAGTCAAATGATACAGAAAACTAGGCACCTGAAAGCTTGCTCACAGAGTTCTCTGCTCCATTATTATAATTCTCAGAGAAACAAGTCACAGGCCCTATATGCTTCATCTCGACTGTCCCCATATGACCCACGGCTGCATCTTGTTTTTTTGGTTCTTTTTGAACAAAACAGATTCCTATACTTTTGGCCATATCTGCTTTACCTTTTTCTGTTTGTATTGGCAGTTATTGGATCTTCACTTTTGGATTTATATATCGTAGACAAGTGTGGATCTAATTAGGTTCTGTCTAATCTTCACAAAAGCACATTAGACTAGCTTGCTTTTATATTAGTCATTCCAATTGCTTCGAACCGCTATAAGGTACACCTTTTAGCTTTGTTAAGTCATCTGCGATTGCAAATGGTCCACTCACTGGTTCTTAGTTCCACATAGCAAGCATTTAGTTCAACTCTGAAATCTAAACACGAAGTTACTTGATTTATCTAATGAAACTCTTAAACACTAAACTTCTTTTCATTTTATAACATGGTGAAAAGCAGATAATAGCTGGTGACCCGGAGAATACGGCAGAGACTTGGATGAGCAATGCTTATAGTTTTGGGATGGTACTGTGGGAGATGGTGACAGGAGAGGCGGCTTATGCGTCTTGCTCGCCCGTGCAGGCGGCTGTTGGGATTGCGGCTTGTGGCCTAAGACCAGAGATCCCAAAGGAGTGCCCTCAAGCCCTGAGAACTCTGATGATCAATTGTTGGAACAACTCTCCCTCCAAACGCCCCAACTTCTCCGATATCCATTGCATGTTGCTCCGCACCATATCACGCTAAGTTTGGTGTTTATTCAGTAAGATCATATTGTACATTCAGATTGTAACACTAAAAAGTGGTAATTATTTAGTATGTATTTGATCATAATGGTGAGATATGAATTGGTCTGGAAACAGATAAGTACACGAAGGGGAAGGGTTTGTGTAGGTTTTGGTTTGATACTGTTGTTGTGGTTAACCTTGAGGACCCACCTCTCTTGTCTGCTTTAGGCCAAAACTAAATAGAGGAAAATATTATCTCCCTCATTTTACACTACACTGCTTACAAATTTTACAATGACATTATGGAATAAAGAATAAACAGATTTTAAGTGAAATAAAAGTATTGTAAATGAATTAGTAGTTTTCTATCATTCATTCATTTATATAAGAAAAAACAAGAAAAAAAGATGACACCGAAAGCGAGTAACTTAGTTATATATAAAAACAAAAAAAAAAATCAGAATTATCTAAAATTACTCAAAAAATCTAACTTTTACCTGATTTGGAATATTGGTTTTTTTATATCTAAATTACTCATTCAAAAAAAATTGTTTTACAACTAACAACACAACATTAACCAAGTTGTTGTAATTTAGTAGTGAAGCTAAAATGGTGAAAGATTTGTTTGGTGGATCGAGGCCAAAATTCCAATTCCATCAACTAAGAGACCTTATTGTTGATCTTTTTGTCGTTTTAAACATTTTAAATGGATGTGACAAAAAAAAAACATTTTAAATGGTAAAAATTCGTAGTTTTCTATATGTTAAAAAAAAAACAGTTTGGATTATTATTTATGATCTATTACGGTCATAAGAAAAGAAAAGCAATACCACATTAGAGAAA